AAAAAACCGCGAGCAACATTCGAGCAGCGCGTGACGATTTCATTGGCCGTTTGAAGGCCATAATTCGTGCCAAAGGTGACCAATTCAAACAAATCTAAACTTATTCGAAAATTTGACATTTTTTGCTTTCTTATAAAATAAAATATAAAAATTATGGCGTTTGACTTTGTTGTAGTTTTTTTATCTCACCCTGTAACCCTGTATCCATATGCCTGAGGGTATAAAAATTACTTTTTATTGGCATATTTTTGCGCTGTTTTCTTAGATTTTATTCTTTTCTGACAAGAGGACATTCCGAATTGATGAGAATTGTCAAAATCAGTCCTGCGGTTATTGATTTATGACCGCAATAACTGGCGTCAATTTCTTTTACATATAGATTGTGCCTATTTTGCGATATATCCGATATCTTTGCTATCAGCATCACTGGTCAGAAGTGAACTTTTAATGTATTTAGGTGCAATAAACCTGCCACTTAATGCAAAAACATCATCCAAAAATTACCCAATCATACAACTATTAATAGATTGAAACATTTGCAATCCATATCCCAAATGTCGCCAGCATTCCATCATTTCCATCTGAGACTATTCCAAGGAATAACAAAAACGCAAAAGAATAAAGTAATTAGAGCACCATTTACCTTATACGTAAATGTATTTCCAAACATTTTCCAGATGTTTCCAAGATTATTACACGGCTACCACTCAAAATCATCATCACTCATTGCGGCGTTGCCACGACAAGAATGCACGCAGTAAGGGGAAATTAGCAAACGCATTTAAGTATGACCAGAGACCGGTAGTTCGCTCCAGATTGTCTCAGCTGTTTTGTGATTTTATTGAGTTTTTATCCGCCAAGTAGGTTCTTCTAGTTTTCTTCTCCTGCGCAATTGTTGTCTGTCGCCATTTCCATTTTTCATTTGAATTTAATTACTTTTTTGCCATTTTTTCAATGGATGGACTCGCAGACAGACGAACGGACAGACAGACAGACTAATGGATGAATGGATTATTTTGTATAACTTATTTGGCGCATGAAAACAATGTTGAGTGGCTTTGTGTGTGCGTGTGTTTGAGTGTGAGTGTGTTTGAGTGCTGGAAAAGTTGGCCTATAATTTAGTAGTGAAATGTTTTGAAGATGTTGATTAATGAAATTAATCCATATTGTCGGCCACCATATGTTTATCATGGATTTTCTTTTGTCAGCATCTTTTCAGTTAGTCAAGAACTGAGCGACATTATGAATAATTATGTTCACTATGTGACAGACACATACACATTTAATTATTATGAATCTGGAAATGGTTGTGCATTTTTAAAGTCGATTAAAGTTTTTTACCTCACATATTTTATGTGATTCAGCTAAAGCTAGAATATAGATAGATTATTATACTTTTATTCTGAGGGCATTCTGAATTGACAAAATTTGTCAAAATCGGTCCAGCCATTCTTCAGATATAAACATTCTAGCTAACATCCCCTTCCTTCGAATATACACATTGGATATATTTCGCTATACACATTCAATATATTTGCTATCGGCATCTACTTAACGAATATAAATAAGAATTGACCTCTTCGTCTATTTGTGATTCCGGCGTGATTAAAAATATTCGCGGTTTAATGGAAAATTTGACTTTTTTTCAACACAAATTCTATGGTCTATTTCACCCACTAAATATTACTTGATGTACATCAAAATTGATGTACATCAAAAGCAAAAGGCTTATATTCTGGCTCTAGTCCCACCTCCATTCTAAATTTCATGAAGATCGGACTATCATTGCGACCTGTAGAGTGATTACAAATTAACATGGACAGACGGACAAACATAGCTAGATCGACTTAGCTCAGCGAGAGAGGAAGATCCATATACACTTTCCTATGTGGGCAACGAATATTTCCAAGTGTTACATAATTTTTGGTCCAATCAAACTTATAATACCCCTAACATAACTAGAATAGAATCTACATGTGAACAATAAGGTTGTGTTCTTTTCGTACCTTTTTTACATTTGATCCTCGAGCTAATTGATCCTCGATAATTGAATTGACAACTGAAGAGCGAAATTGGATTCCCTTCTCCCTATAACATTTGGTCCTTCGAGCCGGATAGAGAATCGAATCAACAATTGAAGCATTAGTTAATCTTCTTTTCTCGCTTTTATACATTTGGTCTTTCGAGCCGGATAGAGAATCGAAACTACATCAAACATATAAGTTTGTTCTTTCCTTCTCACTAAAACATTGGGACTTTAGGGATACGAAAAGTACTAAAATGTACTAAAAGTTGAATACTTTATATTGGACGATCGGAATGAGCTAGAATTTCGAATGAGTGTCACTGATGGAGTGCAGGATAGATATACTAAAGGGTTTTTGGAAATTCAAACTTTAATGTTACGAAAAGTTCTAAAATTTTACTGAACTTCTAAAATGGTACCATTTGGTATTATGTGAATGGATAGAGATAAAAACTTTAAATATGGTTGTTTTGCAGTAAGTTTGCGATCTGTATAAATGGTACTCAATTTGGAACAATTTGGGTTAGAGGGTGCGGATGGAGCTGAAATTTCGAAGAATTAGTATTGTGTTCCCTTTGGAATTGTGGTTGAATTGTGATAAAGACGTGGTTTTGGAAATGAGTACAAATAGCATGGGCATAATTGTACGAAAAGTGCTAAATGGTACAAAATTTGGTATTGGGTGAAGGGAGAGATAAAATTGTGAAATTTGATATAAAGATAACTTATGGTACCTGTGTTTGAGATGTGGCCGTTTTTTGGAAATTCGTCCAATATTTGTACTAAGTAGTACAAAATTTGGTATTTAGTGAAGGAATAGAGCAAAAAACCTGAATGTTGTAGGTGGTTTGGGAAATGTGTACCTCAAGTGCCAGAAAAGTCCTAAATAGTACAATTCCTGGTACAATTTGGCTGATAGAACATGAAATCTTAAATTTGGTATCAGGATCGCTGTTCATGTGTAGCCTGGGCATGTGGGGGTGGTTTCGGGATTGCGTACTATGATTTTATGAAAAGTACTAAATAGTACTAAATTTGGAATTACCTGAAAGGATAGGTATGGAATCCTCAAATTTCATATTGAGGCCTTTGTTGGTTTCTGGAATTGGAATATGGAAGTGGCTTTGGAAATGTGTACTATAATTGTACAAAAAGTACTAAATGGTATTAAAATTGGAATTGAGTGAAGGGTGTGGTTTTGGTCCTAAAATTTAATATTGAGGCATCTATTTGGTATTGTGATATGCAGATGGCTTTGGAAATTTTTATTATTGTTCTTCCAAAAGTACTACATTGAACTAAATGTGTTATTGTGTGAATGTTTATAGCTGAAACCGTGAAATTGTATACTGCGATAACTCTTTTTGTTGTTGTTTATATTCTGATTAATCTGGTTCTTCCTCAATGTCCAGGTTTAGGAACTCTGCTACCTTCAAGGGCCAGAGATCCTCTGGATGGAGTTGGGCAGGCTTGGCTGGACAATTAAACAAATGCAGCGTATTGTGCGGGCCTGTATCGCACGCTAGGCAGTTGTTCGGCACATCTTCGTCAATTCGTGCCCAATACGAATTGAGACGGCTGCACCATCATGAACGTAGTTGGGCCAAAACTTCCTGGTTTGCAAAAATACCCTGGATATAGCGTGCAATGGTGTTGTGGTGCTATGTAGTGGTCGGAAACAGTGTTGATGGTTAACAACTGAATAGCTTCCTCTGATACTGGGGAGGAGTAAAGCCTCGAGAGTCTTTGCTACTGGCGACAAAAGCGAAATTGGCCTGTATAATTCGCCTTTCCTTGCCTGGCTTCAGTAGCGGAACCACCCTACCCATTTTCCAGCGATAACTCTTAGTGTCTAGGATTGACATATGGAACGGTTTTGCAAATAAGTACTGAAATTATACGAGTTACTAAATTTGGAATTGATTGAATTGTAAAGGTGGAATCCCGAAATTTGATATTAAGGTCTCAGTTGGTATCTGGTAGTGGTATTGGTATTGGGCAAATAGGAACTATATAATTTCAGATCACTGTTGGTGTCTAGGATGGAAAAATATAGATTGTTTTGGATATGAGTACTAGATGTTACTAAATTTACTATAGGGTGAAGGTATAGAGCTGAAATTGTAGCATGTTTAAGACTTTTTGGTATAAAATTTAAACATTTTCCTATTATTCTTTCCGAAAAAGGGGAATTTTGAATTCCTAAAAATTTTACTGAAACAAATTGTGAATTTAGAGTACGAAAAAGGCCTATCTGTTGGAACGAATCCAAAATTGTAAGGTGGACTTTTCGCTGACGAAGTATTGCTCTTTCTAGCACATGTATTTCTAGAGAATTGGCCATATGCTGATTGCCTATATCTGTCGGTTTACCGACTAAATAGTACTAAATATAACAGAAAATAATATTTTTGAAATCGTTTATATCTTTCCAGAATCTGCACTGAATTATCGAATTTTTACTGAAAAATAGCAGAACATATTCATATTGGATAATTATAAAATATCCCTTCGAATAATTGAGAAAGTCGTCCTTTGAGTAAAGTAAACCACATAAAAGGATGATTATAATCAAATTTTATTCAAAGCAAAGGCCTAACAAGAAAAACTTGAGAAGAGTGCGTCACCACCACTAAAGTAAAACAAAAACAACAACAACAAGGGAACGGAAATAGGAAAAACACAATTGTAATTGTGGCTTTTACAGCAAGCTTACCCCACCTCCTTCCTCCCACGAAGTATCCTGTGGTCACCACAAAACATACACGCTGACCAACAACATCCGTTCTTTGTTAAAACAACAAAAATAGACCACGCATCTGAAGGCTTTTCTCGGCCGGAAAGAAATCATGTGATTACGTGGGCTGGCCTGGCTGGAACACTCACTCATATTTCTGCAACGGCATTTTTGCACGACGATGAGGACAATGGCGATGGACTTTTTGGCCAACGGATGTGAACAATAAGGCTGTAATTGAAATTAAAAACGCCCATCCGAGTGACCATTCCCCCATATACCACGTATAGCTACAAGGCAAGGGCGGCGGCGACGTCTGAGGCGATTTCGAGTGGTGGTCCTATAAAGGCTGTGGGTGAGTGCCTGGTCAGTCGCTTCGAACGCCTAGCAGAGAACGGACAAGAGCAAGAACAGCAATATCAGCAGCAGGAACAACAGCAGCACCATCATGACAATGACGAACCCACCGCAACGACGGCAACAACAACAACAGCACCAACAGCATTACCAACAATACCAAAACCTCAAGCAACAGCAACAACATCTACTAAACCAAATAAAAATACCAAATCATCTTCACTTCAGCTGGCAGGAACACAGCGAAACACTTGGTGGCGAGTTTTTATTATTCTCGCCTGGCTATTCATTACCAATGCCCCGGAGGTCAATGCTGGTGTCAAATCGGTGTCATCGGTAACATTATCCAACTCCACGCAACTTCTTGTAGCAGCTACAGCAACAACACTAACACAATCTAACATCAACAACTACAACAATGTATTAACATCTGCCCCCCGGCAAAGTTATGGAGTCCATGTTCGACTGCACAAGCGTAACAATGAAGTCATTTATGCACCAAGTGATGAAATCGTCCCTACCACCACCCCCTACCCCAACGGCATTCATTTCCATCTCACCACATTGCCACCATCTTCAACACTTTCCACGAACACCAATCCATCGTCATTTAACGGTAGCAGCACCAACTCCTCCTCAACCATTGATGAAGGCGAAGTCCCCCAAATTCCGGCTTACATTCGCACCACAGCCATGTTCTTCTGCATTGTCATCATGCTAATGGGTGTGATTGGAAATGTTATGGTAAGTTGATCGGAAGTTTGAACTTTTAGCACTTCATTAGTGGTACTCCATAATGGCGAAACGGAGGGAGAGAGAGAGATTTTCTTTGATTTTGGTTAATGACGCGTAGATTTTTACACGAGTCGATTTTTGTGGGTGAAATGCAAAAATGAAGAAAGAAAAAAATTATAAGGAGGTCATTAGGTTGCATACTATATGTGGCAACATATTTTCAGGCATTGTAGTACATGAAACATATGAAATCGTGAGTTGAGTTTTTCTAAAAAAAATCTGCAAAAAAATCCTAATTTTCTTCGGGGGTTTTAATGCCACAGAATTATAGTTTTGGAATTTCATTGTAGGCTAATAGACTAGATTATAATTCGCATTTGTGGTTCTAAGTAAATAAAAAACCTACCTGAAAAAAATTATAAACCAAGTGACCTTCGCTAGAAGCGATCAGCAAATATTACAAAGCTGTTAGTTTCGATTTGAAAAACATTACTCTACGAAATTGAAAGTAATAAGAAGTTAAACCAATGGGGGAATACTCCCGGCTTAAGCAATCGAAAATGATAAACATAGGTCTCTTTAGCTCCTCTATATCGACGACATCTGATTTAAATCATTCTGAAGACTATGAAATTGGATTCGGGAATTTATTAGCCAGAATTAGGAAATTTCAGTATTTATCATTGAAAAGTTCAGATGGATTTTACAAATCCGTCCAGTACTTACACCTATGCCACAATATGTAGAGTACTCCATATATTTCTAATCCAAACGTTTATATGCGTTTTGGAACAAAGGTTATATCAAAAATGTGCCTCATCAAAATAACGATTGACACCGTTATGTCTTCTTGCAGCAACATACTCATAATTTCCGACCCAAATCATTTAGAAGTCCCAACTAATGAAATACTAAATGTTCCATGCAAAATGTACAAAAATGTCAGAATATTAGCTATTTCGGAGGTGCCAGTACCTCCCTCACAAAGAGCCAAAATTATAAATATTCGTAATTCTTATAAAATAAAAAAAAATCATAAGTTTATGTCCTACTAGCAAGAGTCCGCTGACGAAGTAGCGGTCCATCTTAAAATGTTTAATTCGTTCCGAAAGTTCGAGTTAGGTCTTTTTAGTACTTAAAATGCACAATTGGTTCAGTTCGACGACATTTTTAATCAAACTGCATACATCGTACTAAATTTTCGTACTTATAAATTATTCAAGTTTTTTCTTTTCCGGAGAAAATAGGAAATTGTTTAATTTTTACACCAAAAAGGCTTTAGAATCATTCATTTCGAAGTTTACCTAGGAGGATATAAGTAAAACCATTGCTCAACTGACCCACATCCAAATACACAAAAATATTTCATAGGTAAACCCTTAAAGCCAACAGTGACCTCAATATCAAATTGCAGAATTTCAGCTCTATCCCTTCACCCAATACCAAATTAAGTAACATTTAGTACGCATATTATAAAACAAACTACATCTCTAAATCTTAGACACGACCAGTGATCCGAAATCAGTACATATTTTTCAATATGCATTCACTCAATTCCAAATTTATTACTATTTGGTGGTTTTCGTACAAATATAGGACACATTTCCAAAACCTCCTCCTCCTCCTTAAACACAGACACCAACAGTGACATCTACATCAAATTTCATGATTTCAGCCCTATCCCTTCACCCAATACCAAATTTAGTACTATTTAATGCTCTTCGTACAAATATAGTACACATTTCCAAAACCACCTCCGTATCTCAATTCCAGATACCAACAAAGAACTCAACATCAAATTTCCGGATTCCAGCTCCATCCATTCACACAATACCTAATTTAGTACCACTTAGAACTTTTTGAACAATTATGGTACACATTTCCAAAACCACCTTCATATCTTAAGCACAGACACCAACAGTGACATCTACATCAAATTTCATCATTTCAGCTCAATCCCTTCACCCAATACCAAAATTAGTACTAATTAGTATTTTTCGTACAATTATAGTACACAAACAACCTTCATATCTTAATTCCAGACACCTATAAGACCTCAATATCAAATATCGGCATTCCAGCTCTTTACTTTCACTCAATTACTAATTTAGTACTATTTAGTTATTTTCGTACAAGTTTAATACACATTTCCAAAACCACCTACATATCTCAATTCCAGTTACCAAAAGGGACCTCAATATCAAATTTCAGCATTCCAGCCTCATCTCTTTATCCTATACCAATTTAAGTACCATTTAGTAATTGTTCGTACAAATATAGGACAAATTTCGAATTCCCCGCAAATCTCAAACCCAGATACCATCACTAATCTAAATATCATATTTCAGAATTTTATCTCTATCCCTTCCTCCATTACCAAATTTAGCACCATTCAGTACTTTTCGTACAATTATAATACACATTTCCGAAATCACCTCCGTATGTCAAGGCTACACCTGAACAGCGACCCTAATATTAAATTTCAGATTCCAAATGCTATCATATGTTTCGTACGCTTATAGTACACAAAATTTCAAGACCATCCGGTTTTCACAATCCTACTACCAACGAAGACCTTAATACAAAATTTCAAAATTCCAGCTTCGTTCGTGCACCCGAAACCAAATTGTTCCAAATTAAGTAGCATTTAGTACAGATCGCGCACTTATTACACTTTTCCAAAACCTCTTTTGTATATGAAACTTAGTTTCAAGTTTTTAGCTCTGTCCTTTCACATAACACCAAATGGTACCATTTTAGAAGTTTATTACCATTCTAGTACCATTAATTTTATAAGTTAAGTACCATTCTAAAACTTTCCCTAACCTTAAAGTTAAAATCAGTATGGAGAGCACCTCCATCTGTTACTCTCATTTCAAATCCTAGTTCATTCTGTTTGTTCAATACAAAGTATTACATTTTAGTAAATTTTAGTATCAATTTCCAAAAACCCACGCCTACGCACCAAAAGTGACCCCGCTGCAAAATTTCAAGAGTCTAAATTCAGTCACACTTTTTGGATGTTGATTCTAAATCAGTCAGTTATTTCACTACTTATATAGATAATTATATTTGTTAGACCTGCACTTTTTCAAACCTGTCCCACAAAGAGGCTCAATTTTGAATAGTCATAACATCACAATATTTCTACCAAAACTATGGTCGCTCCTAAATAGGAACATTAAAAAGTCTCGATGTGAGATTTAAAATCCCTTTCGGGGGATAGATTTCTCTCTAAAATGTACAAAAAATGAGCAAGCCAATTTTTCTATTATATGGATTTTGGTTTCGGAGTCAACTTCGGCGTTGTTCAAAAAATGGACTATAGTTGGTATCTTGTCAAAAATGGTTCCCAGTAGGCGACTTTTTTTGACACATTTTTTTTAATTATTCAAATATTTCTTCCACTAACAAAGAGATTAAACCACCATCTAGGATTGACCCAACTTTCTAAATCAACTCTAGCTAAAATAATTTTTTTTAATGATTGCTCAATGTATAACATTTATAAAGATCTCAACCCATAAATGTAACCAAATAACGAAGTCATTGGTTTCATTTCCATTCTATTCCATTTCAGGTGCCCATTGTCATAATACGAACAAAGGATATGCGAAACTCCACCAATATATTCCTTACCAACCTCAGCATAGCCGATCTCCTAGTTCTCTTGGTCTGCACTCCAACTGTATTGGTCGAATTGAATACGAAACCGGAAACATGGATTTTGGGTCATGAAATGTGTAAATATTGAACGAGATTTGAAATGACTTCTTATGGGAGTTAATCGTCATTTTTCTTCTTTTGCTTCCTTTTGATGCTATCATTTCAGGCAAAGCCGTTCCATTCATAGAACTGACTGTGGCCCATGCATCTGTTCTCACCATCTTGGCCATTTCGTTCGAACGTTACTATGCCATCTGTGAACCATTGAAGGCGGGGTATGTTTGCACCAAGGCGCGAGCGATTTTAATCTGTTCGCTGGCCTGGGGTATTGCCGCATTGTTTACGAGGTAAGTGACAAATCGCTGTGGTAATTGTTGTCATTCATCATTCTAGCACTCACACTTCCACACACCCCCACCCACACCCACACTCCCATTCAAATTGATTTTTCATTCATCCATTTTCGCAACATTTGTTGTTTTTCATTCATCCATGCCATTTCACATAAATATTCACCCCCATCCTCTTTCTCCTCCTCCCTCCGTATTTAAATCGTTTTAATTCATAACTTAGTTGTTGTTGTTTTTCTTTCATGTTGAAGTAGTTTGGAATGCATGATGCCATGTAGAGAGTTGGACAAATGAAAAACAAAAACAACAAAGTATTTAAAGAACGCGTACCCAGTAATGCCGTGTAGTAGTGATCACTGTAGTTTTTGTTGTTGCGTTGCTATTGCTGTTGTTGTTGTAGTAGTGTTGACAAATCAAAAGAATAATATTAGCATAGCCACCACACTCATAAATTAACCATTCGTAATTTTATGGCTGGCTATTCGGGTAGTGAACATTTAATGTACAGTTGTATTTGTTGTTGTTGGTTTTCATATTTTCTTATTAATTAACATATCGATAGCTTAAGCCGAGTCAAATGGTTTCTTATAAATGATATTGTTTAAGTAAACATTTACATAAAAGTAGACATGTAATTAATATTTTATTAAATGAAATATTAACCTTTGGTACCTCCGCCATTTGTTGTATATTAAACATTTATTTAATAGATTCTATTGACTTTATGGAAGCCAGAACGAAAAATGAAATACTTTACTTCATGTGTATAAAAAAGTATGTAAAGTATATATTATTAATGTTTAGTATTTTATTAATGTTAAATTACAAATTAATCGCACTGACGCTTCATAACTGACCACCACTTTTTATACCCTACACCACAAGGTGGTCAGGGTATTATGTCTTTGTGCATTTGTTTGTAACAGACAAAAGGAAACGAAATAGACCCATAGTTCCTTTTGATTATCTGCATAGAATCACATTCTGAGTCGATTTATGCATGTCCGTCCATCTGTCCATGTATTTTTGTAAACAAAGTACAGTTCGCATTTATTGCCCTATCCAGATGAAATTATGCACAAATCATTTGTTTGGCCCAAGGACGAACCCTATTGAAATTGGAGGTAATCGGTCAACATTTAGATATATATATATGTATATCATCGTCCGATTTGCTTTTTATTGTGCACCAAACGTGCAATATCAGCCCGAATAGTATGAAATTTTGCACATACCACCAAATTCGGCCTGAAAATAAGTATGCCAAATTTTATAGAGATCGGTTCAGGTTTGGATATAGCTCCCATATAAAAATTTGACCGATTTACGTTTTATTGTGCACCAAACTTCTAATATTTGCCCAAATAGGATGAAATTTGGCACTTACGACCGAATTGAGTCTAGAAGCTAGTATGTCTAATTTGGTGAAGATCGGTTCAGATATAGCTATAGCTCCCATATATACTGTTCATCCGATTTGTTATATTTGTTACCCATACAATACAGCAATACAGCTCAGAAATGTATTTGCCAAATTTTATTGAAATCGGTTCCGATTTGGATATAGCTCCCATATATATGTTTATCCGATTTCAAATTAATTGTGCACCAAATACAAGTCCGAATTCAAAAGATACAAATGCTTCGGCATTTGAACTTTAAATTATAATTAATTAATGGGAGAATTCAACATACAATAATAATAATTATAATTATAGCGTGTATGTTGAATTCTCCCATTAAAACGTTTTATTGTTATGCGGAGCTCTACTAAATTATCAAAGTGGTGTAGGGTATCAGCTTGTATCTTCTTGGAATTTTGCGTATGGCTGGCATCCGCAAGTAAAGGGTTTTCCAATAAGAAGTGTTATTGTAATACTAAAAACAGTTATTTTTTGAAATAAATGATTGGATGTTTATTTCAAAATAAAGAAGTAGGTATAGGCCGGGGGAAAAATTTTGTCTCGTTTCTGAATCCTGGGATTGTACTGAGCTGAAAAATGTACTAGACCATATGTCTACGGTGAGAATCGAGCCCGTCCATTTTTCTTGAAGTTTTTTTCTCAGACTTTACTTTGTTTTGGAAACATACAAATATTTTCGGGTTATATTTCGTAAATTCTTTGACATTTTGACTTGTACCCCAAACAAGAGTTGTGGCTATTGTCTCGAGCTACAATTTCCCTAACCATATAGGGTGAGATATATATTGCTCGGCGCTATTTTGGCCCATTCCCGGCGAAGCGCTTACTTGAGGTGATCGACACTTTGATATTTTTTAGTGCCCACCTTTCTTTCCATTATACTCCAGACACAATAGTCCAATGTATTGGTATCCGGAGATTTTGGTGGCCACTGTGCGCTGGATATAAAGTGAGGAACCTCATATTGTAACAATTCTTGGGTGGCTCGTGCTGAGTGCGATGGTGCTGAGTCCTGTTGGAATGTCCAAGGTCTGGGGCCAAAATGTTTGCGTGTCCAATGCTTTAATACACCCTCCAGAATATTTTCGCGATAATATTCGGCATTTATTCTGATGCCACGGTCGATTAATAGGAGCGGAGAGCGACCATCGGCTGTTATGGCGGCCCACACCATCACCATGGCCGGCGCTTGAGTTCTGTTGGCCAACCGAAGGTGCTCATTTTCAGCTGATCTCTTTGGCAAGTAAACACGATCGGATCATTTTGTTTGTTTGCAAACTGCTGGACAACGAATTTTTCGCATCGGAGACGGAGAAAACCAAATTCGGCAGTTTACCATTTTCGGCCAAGTGAAGCAACTCTTTAGCTCTTGTGAGTGTATTTTTTTCTGTTGCGGTGTAAGTTCTTGCTCTTTTTGGAGTTTCAATGGCTTTATCCCGAGCTCATTTTTCAATACTTACCGAATGGAATATTGCGATATGTTCAGCTCACGAGCCATTTTTCGGTCACTGCGACGCGGGTTTCGACCAAGTCTCTTCTTTACTTTTCGAACTATTTCTGCTGATGTTGCTGTTTTCTTCCGTCCAATTCCTTGACGTTGGGCTACGCTACCAGTTACGCTACCGGTAACGAGCGATGGTTTGAGACACAAAAGATTTATTCACATTTAAATGCTGGAGTGCTCTATAACGATAGCCACTTGTGGTTTTCCAGTCAAATATAAAGAAATCACAAATTCCCACCAAAATGCTTGTGTACGCTTGTAAACCATACAATGAGCTGTTACTGGAATAATTTTAACAGCTGTCGGACGAATGACTTAGAAACGACAGCAGCCTGAAGTTGGTTGCAGTTTTTTATCTCAACCGGTAATTTATTTATGAATGATTGGAACTTTTTCGCAATATGTGATTCCTAGTACCTAACATTTATTTATTAGTTTATTTCTTGTGTTTGTTGTGGAAAAATCTTTACTTAACGAAAATTAAAAAATTATTTATTTAATAAAAATATCCTTGAAGAAGTTGGAAAATCTCAACGAAACGTCAGATAAATAATTAAATAAATAGTTTTTATATTCATTAAATAAAACCCAGACCTTAAAGCCCAATAAGACAAAGTCATAAATCATCCCTAAAAAACAGTAAAAAAAACTTAATTCAGTAATAATTTATTTATATTATATCGTTGTACACCATACATATTACTTAGTATAGCATTTCGTTTTAGTTCCAATATTATTGAGCGCGCTTAAAAGCCTTCTACAAAACTTTGAATTATAAAATGTTTGAAAATCACTGACTCCAACACGATGTGGACCCTAGCCTTAATTAAGCCCTCATTACACGTCATGTCAGTCATGTGTAGTGTTTTTTTTTTTTTTTTTTTTTTTCATTTTATATATTATTTCTATTACACAATGCAAATTTGAAACTTATAAAAAACCCAGTACCATGCACCATAAATGTATTAATTTAAACATAAAGCGTTCATTTTTGTTTAAAACGTTTGGGAAGCCCCTAAAAATATGCTATGAAAATGGTAATGATAGATAAAAAAATGTCACATTACATATTAGTCTAACATGGTGTGTAATTTGTAGTAGGATTCTATAACACACTTTTGAGTTACCGACAAGTGTTGGTAAAATTAAAATGCCGAATTATTTTAATTAAATTTGACAACTCCGTTGCTATCGTTGGAACTTAGCGACTACTTTATTTTAGTCGGTAACTTGAATTTTAATTTTAACTATTTTTGTCGGTAAGTCCAAAATGTTTTAGAGAATCCCTCAACTGACCTTTATGATAATTTATGAGATAGTAGAAAAAAAAATATATTTTCCAATTAAATGTTGCTCACATTAAAGTCTTCAAATATCACCGTTTGTGAAAAACTGAAATTTTTATAACGCTCGTACAAATGTATTCAATTATGAGGACTTTCCATATTTTACCACCCTTATCACTAAGTTATGTAAGACATAAAAGTATCATAATCAATTAGGATCTTATGCTAATCAACATAAGTAATTAATAAGAAAATATGAACAACAACAACAACAATCACATTAAAAACTCATTAATGTCATCATCAGGCGTTTTAGTATTTGATGTTGTCAGTTTTTTTTTATTATTCATTTCGTTTTTCTGGTAAACAAAAATTTTCAATATTTCCCCATAACACATCCACTACCCATAGCGAGTCCTAACACTTTGTTGTACTAAACGTCGTAAACATTACAACTCCTTTGCCTTGCCGTCATTGGAAGTGCCAGCGAATAACAAACAGCCTGTCTCTCTGTCTGTCTGCCTGTCATCAGTCAACGCCGACAGGACATGATTGAATGTAAATTGTAAGCATTTGCTGTAAATAAATATCGCCGAGCTCATTCAGTTGTAAAACAGATAATGGCCAAGTGTTATTCAAATGACCACGACAATAACGAGGTTGAATGGTTTAAAATTATGTTTTATATTCCCTCATATCACTGTTTAGTGTTTTTTTGGCAGAACAAGACATTATATCGACATGAAATTAATGACAATTCCTCCCTTCCCGACCTGCTCCTGTGATGTGATGAGAATCTCCCCGGCTATTATTTCTTTAATATTTTTAGTTGTTATTGGTGCTCTTTTTTGATGTCACCCTTATCAGTCATTGACATTTTCTCCTTTATTCCCCTTTGTTTTATGAGATTGTTGGCTTTTAATGAAACAAAAAAAAAAACAAATCGTTTGGTTTGTCACGCCAAGGACTTGGAAACTCCCGACACACAACACTGGCCGAAAGTTGAACAGAATTGTTGTCAAATATTTTGTTTCATGGCGTTAATTTCATTTTATTGGGAGAAAGTAGGGGAAAGAACACCGAAAAATACTTTCCCAAACACCAACACACACACACACGCACGCATACACACAAACATAGGCACAAGGCGACAACCACAGTGACATTAATTACGCGCAGTTCGATTGGTAAGGGGTTAATTTACTTTACAGTGCGGCACGGAGTTGCGTTAATGTCCCTAAAACAATAGGCGATGACGCTGGCGCTGGCGTAACCCCCACCAGGATGGGACACCCCTCCGGGACATTGAACAGCATGCGGCATCCGATAATGAATGCTGTTTGTTAAAAGCTTTCTCGGTTTCATGTTACACCATCTGCTTTCAGTCTCATTGGCATTTTTTTTCTTCTTCTTTTTTTGTTTACAAATCTCATCACTTTTCTCCCCCTCTTCTCTATCTGTCTGTCCATCCATCTGTCCGTCCTGCCCACCGCCCACCTATCTAATTCCCTTTGTTGTGTTGGTAACTGTTTATCCTGGCTGCTATGCGTTTTTGGAATGGTGGCATGGAAATGATTGTAAAATTTGTAGACAATTAAATTATTAAAATTCGTGTGACAAATTGTCCGTGGTCATAATTTCCGACGGAATAATGTCGGATGGAAAGTTTTACATGGTTTCAAGGTCGTACAATGAGAAATGTTTAAAGTGAATGGAAAACTTATAATGAGTCATCGTAGGAGGATTGTGTAATTATTTTACGTATTCGGTATGTGAACAACCATCGAGGATAGAATAATCCAAATTTAAATTCATTCCTCATACCTGAGAATAAACAGACTAAAATTGTTGCTGTATTGACGTCCAATCCGGCGACGGCAGGTTTTATTTTTCCGCTCTTGCGAATTATAAAAGTTCGTGACGTCATCGAAAAAATCCAGAACTTTTGTACTGTTTCCCAAAACGTCTACCGATATGTCCCGATGCTTTTCTGGAGTAACCCGGTTACACAACTATAGCCACCAACAAAGTTGAAAGAATCCGACCAGAAATTCAGGATGGGAATTTAGCGTTCCTGATACAACATTCGATTCAGTACAGACCCATCCATGGATACACCGACGTGGCCAACAATGCGCTTTGAAACCATTTTGGGGGTTGGTGCAATCAAAACACAAACGGAGCAAAATTTTCTGAAAATATCCTAAAAAAATTCCATTTGGGAGGGACCCAGGCCCCATGGCCCAAACCTGCATTGAATAATTGAGTGTAGCAGTCAACCGGTGTAAAAGTCAGAAGTTAATACCCCCTTTGATGGCAACTACCGCCTGATAATTCTGGAATTTCATTCCCTCATAAGAATTAATCAGATGGTATTATGGATTGATACCTCCGTATTTGGAACAGTATATGAGGATATCTTCAGCCGAATAAGATGGGAATGTCATAGTTCACCAGGGTTAACCATCGTGTCACCAGTTCCTATAAATGACATTACATAGTTGGCAGCTCGACTCTTTTGTCAGATCATTTCCGTCTCCATAAGCAGATCACTCGATTTCAAATCCTCTGAAATCCGCAATTTCCATAACAGCGGCAAGGCTAAATTCAGAGAGTTCACCAAACGTCGTTCAAAAATCTGCCCAGACCTTCTGTTAGTAGGATAGCAGAGAGGGTTTTTTGAGACAAAGGGACGGTCTCATCTCGTCCCGAAGTTAGAACAATCTTCCTAACAGAAGAGTGAAACTCGATTACTTAAAGCTTAGTGGGAGCAGAAAAAATTGTCGGTAAAAAACTTTCGATTTTTTCTGAAATTGTTTGCAGAATTTTTTAAACCCGGTTTTTTTTAAATCCATAGCAATTAAAAAAATTCCATTTCAAAAAATGTACTGAAAATTTTAGTTGACACTACAACCTTCCCAAAAAATAAAAAAAAAACATCCAGGTCCGTCCACCAAGAAAAAAATACTTTCCCGGCATCAGGGTTCAAATACCTTCCTGTGGAAAAAATTAAATAAAGCCACGAGTTTTTACTAAGCTAGAGTTTTTCCTCCCTTTCAGCTCTATTTTCAGCGATTTTGCTCCCACTTTAATTTTTCAAGTTTCGTCAACGGGTCGGGTCGCACCGTTGACGACATATGTGTTATGAGGAACTGAATGGGCAAGTCATGTCTTTAAGACGTAGGCGTCCCGACAATTACAAAAACAACTGAAAAGCTTATGTTTTTTGTCATATTCCGCGCCCGTATTCTGTTTTCTGAAAATGAGGAAACTAGCGTTTATATGCTAGTACAATATAACTCCGATTAAGAACTGTCCGAAACCATTGAACCAAATTGTCAACATTTGCTGTTAAATGTGCGCGTTTCCGCAAAACTCAAATCTTCCCCGAACATATTCTCTCAAATTTTACAATCATTTTCCAGAGCCACATTTATTGATTCCCTTTTCACTCTTTCACGTTATTTCTTTCCTTGCTGTCCCTGTCTAAGCGTCCAGTCATTCCACAACATATTTCCTTAATTCCAATAGGGATTCTTTATGCATTTTATCCTTGCCATCCATTCACAATCCAAAGATCCTCTACTTCAAAATCGGCTAATTAAAGTTACTTTCAAAAATATCGTTCTACTTTTCTCTCTCCCTTTGTTTTTTTTTTCTTTTTACCCACACACTACTCCACCAGTCCGATATTGTGGATGGCTGAATATAAATTTGCCGATTACATAGATGGATCTTCGGTGCCGGTGTGTCTGACACAAGCTCTAACCATTTGGACCCTGGGATTTTTCCTTATGATCACCGCCGTCTTCTTCGTCTTTCCGCTGTTCATTCTGATTGTCTTGTACGGTATTATTGCGAAAAATCTAATTTCCGATACGGGACCGATGATGCGTATACGACCCATAAAACCAGAGCTGAGTCTGAAGGCCCGCAAGCAAGTTGTCCTTATGTTGGGAGCTGTTGTGGTATCCTTTTTCCTTTGCCTGCTGCCCTTTCGTCTGTTAACTCTGGGTATCATTTTGGCCCCGGACAAAGTACACGATTTGGGTTTGGAGCGTTACTATAATGTACTCTACTTCAGCCGTATTATGCTATACCTGAATTCAGCCATAAATCCCATACTCTACAATCTGATGTCGACGAAATTCCGCAAGGGATTTTACAAATTGATTTTCACCCTATGGATGGCTGTGCTGGCGGCCCTCACCTGTGGCCATTGCGAACGATGTGGCGTCAAGAGGAAAGGTCCCCATGGTTTGGTCACAACCACAACAACTAGCTCTAACACCAACACCACCACCAATACCTCGTCCAGTATTCTATCGCGCAGCTCAAATCGCCGCTCAAGTGATGAAGTCTACAACCGTACCCGTGTCCAGATACAAATGCAGATGCCCTATGGGAGCGATTGCGAAATGGTTGCCATGCTGCACAACACCAACACAGATTGTCGAGCAGCTGTTGTGGTTGCAGCAAGTTTGCCGGGTCTCAGTGGCAAATATGGTCCAATGAAATGCCATGGAAACCAAAGACGCTGTTCCACATCCTCCTCGTCGTCGCTGCAAACCAATGCCCAGCATCGACACGTCATCTGTGGTCCCAGTAGTCGCCTGAGGACCAGGCAAATAAGTTTCGAAGAAGATGCCAATGTTGATGCTAATGCTGTGGCTTAAACGCTTTTATGGAGTGTTGGAGGTCGAAACACGCTGCACAGACCACAACAGCAAAGGCGTTGTGGTCGAACATCATTTGTTTTTATATCTTGTTCATATTCGATGTAGTCTCTTTTTGTTTTTGTTTTACCATTCATTCTTTTATTGTTCTATCTTTGTATGTTAAGTAGTAGTGCTTTATATTCTCTTTTAGATAGTTTGTAAGTGTATGTGTATATATGTACCACATGTATGAAATATGTTATATGTATGAATGTCTGTTATCTATGACTCTATAAATACAGTAATACAGACTTATATTAAATGGATTTTGGCTAAAGACGCTGTTGTCTTTGCTGGTCATTCAGAGGATGTTGTCTATCTCTCATTATGGTAGCAGCGGAGTTGGATTTGGGGATGCCATGGAGTTTATCTTGTCTGTCTGTAAATAAGCTAATATTAATAGATATGCTTTGTGCGTAAGTAGTGGCTGTTGTAACGTGCTTTTTTGGGGTGGTATTCACGAAACGAAATGAAATTGTTCTGTAAGAAGTGAAAATTAATTATAAGTTTATTATGTTGCTATAAATGACTCAAGAAGAGGGTAGGTAGTTCAGAGGTATATCTTGAATTGGGATATGTATATATCATAATTATGTTTAATCTAATGGCACATAATAGTGGGCTTTAAGCTATTCTATGCTTTATCACAACTATTTGTTTACATTGAAAATGCCTTAGCCATAGGTCGTAAATTTATTCATAGAGTAATGTCTATTTTCTAAAGACCAGCAAGAAACCTTTTACCAGTGGATGATGTATTGATAGTATTTCATATATATCAGACCTGTAACCATCTTCTTCTCAAATAAGTCTAGTGTTACAAAAACCCAAAGTGATAACCGTCATTAATTTTTCATTTTGCGACCATCGATTTTGAGTCGATTTTTATTTTCATGCAGCATTTTACTAACAACCTCGAAAACGTCTATTAATGATTATATCATCGATTTGTACACCTACAACTTAAAATCTAAACCGTCCTTAAGGTCTGATTATGTAAAGTGACTTTACCTCATATTATATTTGATATTTTATAGCATACTTTACAGCGTTCACAACAATTGTTTTAACTTTGAAAAAAACCCTAAACTTACTCATGCAATACTTCTCATTTTCATACTTATAATATAAATATATATAAACATATTATATATATATTCCTTTTAGTTTTCTAATTCGGGAGAACGTCTAACAGTATGCTACAAAATTCTAAAAATCGCTTGACATATGACTTCAATGTGAAGTATAATCAGACCTTTCATTAAATTTTTCTTGGTCGATGAATCAGACATTTGTTCCACCACGAAAACCTGGATTAGACTAGTTTCTAGAATTTTAAAGCACATTTTTATAAATTTTATGACTTTTACTACAAGTGGTCCTGTGAGGGATTATTTTAACTGATTCTGGATTTCTAGCAAAGTGGCTCGCCTTTTGAACAATGTTTTTGTACCTAACTTCAAATAAAACAAGTAAAATAATATTAATCGGTTTTGCCGACAGATTTATACACCTAGCCGAATTCGTATCTTAAGATACTTAATTCTTAGGACTGGGAAAAATATTACGAATCCCGACCCTTTGAGGGTGAGGTACCAGAACTAGATCATCTTCACAACAGATCTAATCTTGGTAGAAATTATGGGATGTGTGAAATATGAAGAGATTCGGTTCTCTTACTTCGGATTTTATGATCATTTTGGTTATTTCAAATTTTGACCCTTTTTGTGGGGCAGATACCAGAAGATCCGATCTCTACAATCTTTACAACAGATCTCGTGTTTATTGAAATATTGACACGTGCCAAGTCTGAATGGAATCGGATGTTAATTTCGTGTTTTATGTACTCCATGAATATTCAAAAATTTGAACTTTTGTGGGGGAGGTACTAGAAGGGGGTGGACCGATATATATTTTCACACCGTAACTTGGGTTAATAAAAATATTGTGTTGTGAATAATTTGAAGAAAACCAGATGCTTATTTTGGATTTTATTATCGTTTTGTTTATTCAAAACGTTAACCCTTTCTGGGGCAGGTACCAGAAGGAATGGTCCGATCCTACCATCTTTATAAAAAATATTGTGTTGTTGGAAATATTGAAATGTGCCAAGGCTGAATGAAATCGGATGTTAATTTCGTTTTTAGTTTCATGTATATTCAAAATTTTGACCCTTTGTGGGGGAGGTACCAGAATCCTCACGCCAGACCTTGGGTTAGTAAAAATATTGTGATGGAAGGAGTGGACCAATATTGTTAATCTCCAAACTCGATCTGAGTTTGACAATAATATTATGGTGTACCAAATTTGAAACCAATCGGATACTCCCTTCAAGAGTTATCGTGCGCACCAGCCAGCCAGGCAGACAGACGGACGGACATCGCTAGATAGACTCCAAATGCCCTTAAACGGATTTGGTCCAAAGAGACCTAGGGTCTAAAACCGTTATTTCGATGAGGCACGTTTTGATCGCATCAAATGATATATAACCTCCCTAGGCTGAGGGTATAAAAAAATGGTTCTAAGGTTAATATTTCTGGATATAGGTAAGATATAGGTACTTATTAATGCTTTTTTGAAAATATAGAACTTAGACTACCATTTAGCATTTTCAGTTCTGATCATTTTCAAAATCTATTATTTTGATATAACTTACCGTTTAGACCCATATTCGATAGGTATTTTAAAATCTTTCAATTAATAGAACCAGCTTTTGTGGATTTTTACCAAAATTTCAGATTAAAAAGCCAGGAACGAGGCTTGTCCTCCGACATAAAAGAAATGACTATATTCTGCATAAAAATATATAAATGATAAAATCTTAGTGGTTTTATTAGACTATACATACGTAAAACCTCAAAAACCTCAAAATGCTTTAAAGTTTTAAGCCATCATTTGTTTACCTCTAAATCGTAGATAACCATTTTATCAAATAGCCCCCGAAATCGAATGAGAAAACACGAAAACCTCAAAATAATTAGAGCATGATATTTATCTAGAAGTAAGCAAAAATTAACCAATAAATGAGTCGACACTTACCTTTTCCTTATTTTTTTTTAATTTTATAATATTAGCTAATTCATATTTTTTTTAAAATTCTGATTGAATACGATTCTGATATTTTATAAAAAATAATTTTATTAATTTTTAATTTTATAAATTCAATAGCCCCAAACATATTTTAATAGAACTTCGAACGAACAAATTCCCCATGCCTTGTGACTACATAAAACAGTCATTAATGCCAGTACTGAAGGACAGCAAAACAAAGAAACTGTCTGCGAAGCAACAAACCGCTCTGAACAGCACTGCAAATTGGCAAATGGCCTTTAACAGCTTAAACAGCAAAAAACCCTTTCGTTTATCGCTCACAAAAAAACGCCAAAACAAATAACGCAAACTCTAGTTCCGCAGTAAATGTAAAATGATAAGCTTTATCTGGCCATCATCCATCCTTTGGTATTGCTTTATGACGAGGATATGCACACAAAAAGGATATTGAATATAAAAATATTAGCTGTAGTTTGTTGTTGTTTTCTTGTTCGGCCGAAAGTTTCCGGTTTCCTGTCTTTTACAATAGCTAATGGCCAAATAAGCGGACTTCTTATTTTTTTGTCACCAGCAACAACAATTTATTTCTATGAATGGAAAAAAACGAAATAGAAATATATGGGATTTTTATTTGATATAATGGCTTTAAGGGATATATTCAAGAGTTGGATCCTCATCTCGCTTCGTCCTTGCACATGTCCTTGATATTTGTTTGTAATGCTCGGCTATTACAAACATGGATAGAAAAACAATCAATTTTTCGGACTATTTAACTCGAATGAATGTGCCAATAATATTTACTGAACTACACTATGGATGAGTGGGGAGGGGATGAGAGGGGAAAAGGGGCAAAACAAATATTTGTTTATTTATTTATTTTTGTAGGTATGTATGTAGTTTTTATTTGAACGTTGGGACATTTCAATAACTAAAGTAATTTGAGACGATTTTTCAAAATTGTCATCTGTACTAGTAGTAGTAGCACCGTGGAAAGGGTTACATTGAAATAACAGTTTAGATAGCATGTTTAAATCTGGTAAAAAAGAACCGGCCAATCTGAATCTTTTCTTTTTGCAGGACATTTATTTTCATTGTACTTTTTGTACCATTTCAGTACAATCTACATACATGAAAGCGTAGTGACTGACTGAGAATCAACGTCCAGACGAAATTGCTGAAGCTAGAATCTTGAAGTTTTGCACGAGGGTCAGTCTTGGACGTAGGCGTATGATAAGGCTGGGTTTTTGGAAACTCGTACGAAAAGTACTAAAAATGTATGGCTTTGTATTGGTGAAAGGAAATGAACTAGAATTTGCAAATTTGGAATAAGAGTCATTGATGGAATGCAGAATAGATGTACCAAAGGGGTTGTTGGAAATTCGAACTTTAATGTTACGAAAAGTTTTAAACTGGTACTAAACTTCTAAAATGGCACCTTTTGGTATTATGTGAATGGATAGAGCAAAAAACTTGAAATTTTGAATGAGAATCAAGGTTGCAAAGTCATTTTGATATATCAAAAGGGGTTTTGGAACTGTTTACCAAGTGTGCGATCTGTACTAAATGGTACTAATTTTCGAACCTTTAAGCTTTGAATGAACCGATGGAGCTGGTATTCCGATGTTTTGGTATTGGGATCCCTGTTGGTGGTAAGTTTGTGAAATCTGCTTGAAATTTGAAAATTTAATATTAGGATAGCTGTTTATGTACTAAATGGTACTAAATTTGGTATTGGGTGAAGATCCCTTCTGGACTGGGATCCTCAAATTTGATAATGAGGTCTCTGTTAGTATTTGGAAATGAGATATGGAAGTAGTTTTGGAAATGTGTACTATAATTGTACGAAATGTACTAACCGAAACTAAATTCGGTCTTGGCTGAGGGGATAGAGATACAAT